GAATCAAAGAACATCATTCCCTTTAACTCCTTATTTACCAAGAAGTCTATGACTGAACCTATTTATACTTTTTCTTGGTCAGAATTATTGCTTTTCCCATTATCAGTTTTATTCTTTCCCCAGAACTTTCTAGAAGCTGCCTTTACATTGCTTATTTTAAAATTCTACAGGTAGAGGTATGATGGGTGATTTAGACTGGAGCTATGGTTGCTTTCAAAACAGGAAGCAGGGCTGGAGAGGGCTCAGTGGTTAAGAGCACTCTTCCAGAGATCTGGGTTCAAGTCCCAGCACCCATGTGTGAGCTAACAACTGTCCTTAACTCCAATTCCTGGGGATCTGACACCCTCTTCTGACCTCTGTGGGCACTGCATGATATGGGTACACTTACACTCAGGCAAAATACTCATACACATTAATACTCATACACACAGGAAGCACCCCTGGCCCCAGGAGGACAGAGGAAGACCAGTGGCCACAGGGCCACAGAGCTCTGGGTTCAAGTTGTCAGTCACTGCATAGCTATTCTTATACTTTTGGGGTTGAAGAAGTTAACATTTGAACTTGACTGGACACATCATACACCCAGGACTCCATGGGCTGCTTCCTCCCATCAGCCTGAAAATAAGATCCATGCATTTCCCCTTTTGCCTCAGCTTCCAATGTCCCTAACCTTTAGCCTCTATAGACTTTAGACTGGTTTTCTGTTTTAATGTTAGTTTTCTAATTTTGCATTGAGTACCACATTTTTTTCTGCATTTCTGTCATCTGAGAAATGTCTTAAAGCTAACAAAATTGCTTTGTTTGAATAAAGATTTTTAAAAATATTTTATTTTTATTTTATGCGTATGAGTTTTTTGTCTGCATGTATGTGAGTGCATCATGTCATGCAGAGCCCACCAAGGCAGAAGGGGGCTTTGAATCTTCTGGAACTGGCGCTACAGATGGTTCTTAGTGACCGTGTGGGTGCTGGGAATTGTAGCCAGGTCCTCTGTAAGAGCAGTCAGTGCTCTTAACTGCTGAGTCATCTCTCTAGTCCCAAGCTCTTCATTATTTTCCTGATAAGAATATCCTAAATTAAAATAAAGAGGGCTGATAGGACCACTTCATCCTGGCAACACTTTCTTCAGCAAGACAAATTTCATGGGCCTCTAGAAACCAAAGTAATCACCACCCTCACTGGATCATCTTCCATGTGCCAGATGCTTAGGTTAACCAGAGTGAGAATGAAGGCAGGGCAAAGAGAACCCTGTGATGCTGTGAGTTAGGCCTGTTCCCCACTCTAACTCCAAAAGCAGTAAGTCAGGGGAAACACAGCATGCACTTCAGTGTGTGACTGTCCAGGCACCTCCCACCCTTATGAGTACCAGCCAAACGCACAAGGCTTCAGGCTTTCTCTCTTCCTTACACTCAGCTGGCAGGATTAAGCAGACAAGTCTTTAATTCGGACAAAGAAGAATAGGTCCAGTAAGCAAAGTAAGACATGCTTAGGAATTACTAACGATATCTAAGCTATCCATCAAATAATGGGAGATAGGACATCTGTGAACACACATTAAACAAGATTAGGCCTGGAGTGGTGGCGCACGCCTTTAATCCCAGCACTTGGGAGGCAGAGGCAGGTGGATCTTTGTGAGTTCGAGGCCAGCCTGGTCTATATAGTGAGTTCCAGGCTAGCTGGGACTACAGGGAGACATTGTCTCAAAAAGACAAAAAAACAAAAAAAGCAAAATTTGGACACATGTGGTTTAATTTCACTATTCTCTCTACTTTTTTGTTTTGAAATGCTTCATAATAAAAATAAAATATGGGCTGGAGAAATGACTCAGCAGTTAAGCGTGCTGGCTGCTCTTGCAGAGAACCCAGGCACGATTCTTAGCACCCACATGGTAGCTAACAACCATCTGTAACTCCAGTTCCAGGGAATCTGACACCCTCTTCTGAATTGACAGCACTGCATGACAAGGGAGCACCTACATGCAGGCAATGCACTCATATACATTAAAAAATTAAAGCAATAAATAAAATAAAGGGTGCTAAAGAGATGGCTCAGCAGTTAAGAACACTGACTGCTCTTGCAAAGGACCCGGGTTTGAAAATAAAATAAATAAAAATAAAATATATCTGTTGTGGAAATTTACCTAAGTATAAAAATGTTAAATCACCAAGAAAAATAAAATCCATATATAATTCTATAACCTAAGAAAAATACTGCCATCATGTGTCTATTTCCAATATTTTAAAAAATATTTTATTATTTTTATTTTATGTGTATGAGTGTGTTGCCTATATGTATGCAAATGTACCCATGTCCTGCAATGCCTATAGAGATCAGAAGAGGGTGACAGATCTCTGGAAATGGAATTACAGACAGTTGTTAGGTGCCATGTAGGTGCTAGGAATCGATCCTGGGTCCTCTGCAAGAGCAGCCAGTACTCTTAACCACTGAGCCATCTCTCCAGCCCCATATTTCCAATATTTTTCATCTATTTTTTCTTCCTTCTTTCTCTCTTCTTTCTTGGTGTGTGTGTGTGTGTGTGTGTGTGTGTGTGTGTGTGTGTGTACACAGAGAGGTCAACTTTTGGGAGTCAGGTTTCCAAGATCAAGCTCAAATCACAAGGCTTGGTGGCAGGTGCTCTTATTTATTGAGCCATCTCACTGGCCCATTTTTCTTTCACTCCAGTCACACTGTCTTTCAGCCTGCCTTCACTACCCCACTCTTAATTTCCTAGGTATTATTCAAGTTACTAGATATTTTATATAATATGGTTGTTACATAGTCTTTAATCAAAAGTTAGCCCATGATCTATTCCCAATATTTTGACTACAATAAGAAGTCTGTAATGAACCAGAAAAAATAACATTTATTATACACAGGCAATTTCAAATGAGAAAGGAATATCTTAATACATGTCTAAGTACAAATTGATAGCACAGAGGTGAGGGAAAGGTGAAGCGAGAGGCTGGTGGCTTGCAGACTGCATAATCCTAAACAATTATTAACTTCCTTTGTATTCCCTGTAGTAAAGGTCATGGTGAAAAGTTCAACAGGTATAAGGCTGACAGGGCACTGACAGCGCCTCTTAGTAAACAATAATTTACCAGGTTCAGGCAATGAGTTCAGGAAATCTAGAAGCCTCTGAAATACTGAAATACTGAATGTTAAAAAGGTGGAGTAGTCTATCAATGGGGATGGCACAGGAGGACTCTGTAGGCACAAGAGTAGACCCAGGACTTCACCAAGATCAATGGTTCTAAAACTTTCAGCTCTATGATTCATCTAGTAGAGGTAACATAACTGGAGGCTGCCTGTGGCTGAGTTCTCCCACTCATACAGCTTTATTGATGATTCCCTCCTCCCCCTGGAAGAAGAAAATCCTCCCAGTTCTCTGTGCAGGAAAGAGAGAGCGACATTCCTGCACTAGCCATTCCCTGCTAAAATGCAGAATTTAGCTGAATGTCTGTGAAGACAACGCCTCTTGAGTCAATATCTGAATGCCAGCTATTTTTCTAAGTATAATTTTTCTTTCTGAATCAAATCCATAAACTATTTTGTGACACGTGGAGGAATCAGAGATGAACACATTGTAGCTGTGTTCCATCTGGGTTTCAGACTGATTAAAAAAAAAAAAAATCAGGGGCCTCTGAATTAGACATGTGTTTCTGGTCAGTAGCCACCTGGATGGGAATCCACTGAGACCTCACGCTCCAAAGGGGCCAGGGCAATGGCAGAGCCAGAGGGACTAGGAAGAGGGCTAGAGGGCTGCAGGAGAACAGCTGCTTTCTTTGCCCTTCTGCTGTTTGGAGTTTCATATTTCAGAAACGACCACTGTGGCCCTTTTATCCATGTCAAGGGTTGATTAGAGAGGAAAGGTGAGTGTAGGACACACCGAGCGTGGTGGGCATAGGAGTCCTGATCACTGAGGAAGTAAGCAGTTGCCACCACATGTGGCCTGGAAGCCAGGCCTTTCTTCTTCCCCTGCCATCCCCACCACTCCTCTATTGACTAAGACACCTAGATTACCACTTAGAGATACTCGGCTGAGCTTACTGAAAAATGCTAAGCTTATGCACAGATGAGGAAGATGAACCAAAATGCCAAAGCACGCACTGCAGTAACAAGAATGATTTTTATTTTTTGTTGCTGCCACTGGGTTGACTTGTTGAAAATTATTTTAAGAATAAGTTGTTACCAATATTTCATTTATATATTTCTCCAAAATTGGAACCTCTCAAAGGTTGAGTTCATGTCTGACTTAAGTCTACATCTTCCCCCTGGATTCATATATCATAGAAAAACAGGAGAAAAACAAACATAGAAATACAACCAAAGGGGGCTGGCTTAGTGGTTAAGAGCAGTGACTGGTCTTGTAGAGGACCAGGGTTTGATTCCCATCACTCACATGGTGATTAACAACCATATGTGGCTCCAGTTACAGGGGATCTGATGCCTTCTTCTGACTCTGCAGGCATTGCACGACACGGGTGCACTTACACACATGCAGGCAATACACGCGTACACATAAAATAAAAATAATAAAAATTTTTTTAAAAAGAGAAATACAACCAAAGACTTGGTGTAATTGTATTTTTTCAGCTAGATTTCCCAATAGGGCAATCTTTAAAGTTAATAAAACTAGGCCAGAAAGCTCTACAAAGCTTGTATTTATATGGCTTGGCTTTTACTTTCTTGACCTGAAAAGATGCAAAAAAGGCAAATATATAAACACAGAACAGCTGTCTTCTGGCAAAGACAGTATCCCACTGTCACAGCCACACCCTGACACAGAGACACCCACAAGCTCAATCCATCCTCAACTCCAACGGATCTGATTGCTGGAGAGGTCCCTGAGGTGCTGTTGAGCTCACCCTCTGATATAAGAATGGATGAGAGCCACATACTGGGGTGGTTCAAAATCTGCCACCTCTTTCAGAAAGTGCAAAACACCCACACCAAGGTTCTCCGCATTGACCTCCCATATAGGCCAAGACCAGAAAGTTACCTTGCAGACAGTTGCCTGGAGGACTGCATCAAAGCCACCCTCGGGGGCATCACGGTTCCGGGACACCCTCTGCTTCCGTACTTCCTCATTGAAGCTGTCCACTCTGTCTGTGAGAGATAGCAGATGGCGGAACCCAAAGGAGGGGACGCAGTTTGGAAACAACTTATAACTAGAGAAAAATAAGAGAAAAGTTGCTTTTGCATCATCATCTGTAATTCTTTTAAAAAACATTTTATTACTTTTAGTGTGTATGTGTGTGTGTGTGTGTGTGCACGCGTGCATGCTTACACATGTGCAAGTGCCACAGAGCACAAGTAAAGATCAGAAGATAGCTTGTAGGAGTTTGTTCTCTCCTTCCACCATGTAGGGCCTGGGCACCGAAATCAGGTCGTCAGGTACCTCTGCACACTGAGCCATCTCAACAGCGCCATGCTAAATCTTAACCAAGTATTCTGGCATTCACTGAGTGCCTTGAAAGATACCAGTAACTATTTATCCAGTCCCTGCCACCTGCTCTGAAAAGGCATAGTGGAGAGAACAAAGATAAATAACAATCCCTACTTGGCAAACTGCCAGTCCTAACTGCCAGTCATGGAAATGAGTATACAGAAAAATAGCTTAAAAGAAGTGGCAGTTACAGTAGACTCCAGTAGCTGGGGAAGCGGGCCTTGGACGATGAGTGGGGCCAGTGGCACAATCAAGGTGGGCAACAGCCAGTAAAGACAATGACAGAGCAGCTTTGGGTTATCAGCCTCTCACATCCACCGTACTGCTGCTGCTTGGTTAGTAACCAAGTTTGTGCTGTTCATATATTCTTGGGTATGTGGCCATCCATTGGGACATGGTGGACCTACCAGGAAAACAAAGGGCCCACTGAGTGACCACAGGATGTGCTGGCACATGAACAGATGCTAAATGGAACAGGAATAAACAACATTCTTTTGCTCCTTCATTCACTTGTGAACACTGAAGTGATGAACTGTCCACTCACCATAGAAATAGTTGAGAAACTAACCATCTTCCAATGGGAAATTTTTTTTTTTTTTTTGGTCTTTTTGAGACAGGGTCTCCCTGTAGCCCCTGCTGTCCTGGAACTCACTATGTTAGACCAGGCTGGCCTTGAACTCACAGAGATCTGCCTGCCTCTGCCTACCTCTGTGCTGGGATTAAAGGCGTGCACCACCACACCCGGCTCCAATGGAAAATTTTATCTGACAACTTGGAAAGAAGGAAGTACTGCACATCAACAGTAGGTTAATTTCAGGCATTTCTCTTAAAATAATAGGTTATCTCCTTTTCAGTGGAGACCCAAGTGGCCCCATTCCTAGAGGAAGGTAGTTCCTAATGTCAAGAGCCAGCTTGACATATTGCTAATGGAACAAGAAGAGTCCAGGACACAGAGGAGAGGGCAGCATATTGCAGCCAGAGAGAGAAGGCAGCTGGGAAGGCCAGTGGACCCTATGCAGAATAAAGGGGGAGGGTCTGCAGGCTCAGTGGCCATGTAAAGGAAGTGTCTTTTTAGAACATTAAGCACTTAACAGAGAGGCCTGGGAAAGGGCTTTAGAATCCCATTCAAGCTGTTCCTGGGAAGGGAAACAGGCTTAGCAACTGCTATAAGACCTGCCATTGCTGCTGCCAAGACCAGGGTGGGTCTGGGCAGGCTCCCTCCTCCGCAGAGGGGCAAGTTTTGGCTCTCTAAGATATTGTTCCATCTAGGGCTACAGTCCCTGCTCAACCCCCAATAGTCGCACAAGCTGCTCTAGACGGCTCAGTCATCCCTCCCCCCCACACACACCAGAGCAACAGTTTTCTCCAGCTAGACCTTTCCCTGTCTCTGCTTTGTTTCTCTCACTTCCCCTCCCCCAAGTCTTCACAAACACCTTTTGCTTGGACAGATCAGGCTGTTTTAATATCAATACCTTAGGCCACCAATGTTAGAATCCTGCCTCCGCTCAGATCATGCTTGCAGCAGCCTACTCACTTCTCACAGATACCCACAGGAACTCCTCTGAGACTTTGTCTATGAGTTCCTAGCTAACAGACATCCCAGGGTCAGGGTCTCTCACCTGGGAAGTGAGTTAACTTCAAAGGGAATATTGGTTGTCACACATCATGTTCCCTACATCCCTTCCCTGCCTCCAGAGGAATCTGAGAACCTGGTTGCAGGTTTGTGTTGTGAAACTTCCCCCATCCTCAGAAAAGGATAAGAACAGACCCCATTTCTGCCATGTGGGGTCTGATTCCTCTCTTCAGAGGCCCTGCCATGCTGTCTCTGGTGCTAGGGATTGAGCTCTTGCCAATACTGTTACCTGTCTGTCTACCCAAGCACTGATAATTTTTCTAATAAATTATGTATTCCCCAATAATCTGTCCCAGTGTCCTCTTGGACATGCCCCCCCCCACCCCAAATCTCACAGTCATTTGACAATGAACAGGCCCAGAAGGAGGGAAACATCCACATCTGTATTCCTGCCTCTCTTCTTCTATGTTATTTAGGAACTCAGGTGTGTGTTTACTGTCACAGCTAGTCAGGATGGTTGTGGAAAGGTGAGAGACTGAACAACTGCAGTGAGCTGAGAAACCAGAAAAGCTGTGAGAAGCCCCCCCACCCCCACCCCAGCTGTGGGTCAGCATTTTTTATACTTCCCTTCACTCCTGCAGGCAGGCTTTTTCTCTGGAGAAACACTAAAGTAATTAAGAACTAGAAAGTATGTCTGTTGGAGAGAGACTACAGATAGTTTACTACAATAACCAAGTCAGGGATACCTCTTATTGAAAACAGTTTTGCCATACAGACCCTGGGAAGGCCTCCATTGTCACTGGGATAAGATATCATTTGTGACTACATTTCTGGTTTAGTCTGTGGATCTGTTGTCTGAGTAGCTTGGATATCTGGTTGTTCTGGGGTCTCTGGCCAGGAGATTATCCCACCCCACTGTGTGTGTGTTATGGAATCCCAGTTTAGGGACATTTATAGAGTTACTAAATTAAAGATTATCAACCAGGAAGATAAAAATAAATATAAGCCACTAAAGAGCTGGGGAAGTGTGTGTGTGTGTGTGTGTGTGTGTGTGTGTGTGTGTGTGTGTATCTATATACATGTACGTGCATAAATGTGTGAATTTAAAGACATTAGATCTAGGCAAATTTTGAAAACTATGTAATATTCAAGACAAGACTATGCATGGAGCTGATAGAGAAAGGCACACATCTCCTACTCAAAACAGGAAACTTCTGGATAAATTACAATTTTAAAATTTTAAAATAGACAGCCATGACTGGAGGCTTAGGAGAGAAATCCTAGGTGCCAGAAAGGAAGAGGAAATGGTCCCACAGATGAGTGACTAAGGAGTCTATTTGGGAAGTGCAGGAGCTCAAATTCAGTTCTCTAAGCATCAGGAAGGAGGCCCACTGCTTGCAGTGGGACTCTAAGGGAAGCCCAGGAGAGCCGCAGGGCAGGCTCAGCTGTGCAACAGGCAGTCTCCAGACAGTTGAAAGCTACGAAGAGCTGCAGCACTAAACCAGAAAGGAAACTTCCAACCACCAGCTTGAGAAAGAGGCAAAGAAGCATCCCATCTGCTTCAGGCTATGAGCAAAAAAGGAATCTGGGGGCTGGAGAGATGGCTCAGCAGTTTCATGGGGCGTAGTATAGTATTTGCCTTTAATCCCAGCATTTGAGAGGCAGAGGTAGGAGGATCTCTATGAGATCAAGGCAAGCCTGGTCTAGTTCCAGGCTAGCTGGGGCTATAGGGAAACCCTGTCTCAAAAAAAAAAAGTAACTTAGAATGCAGAGTTTGGTTTTCAGTATCTATACTGGGCGGCTTACAACCGCCTGTAACTCTGATTCCAAGGATTCAATGCCCCCATACATACACATATGTGCCCCCTCCACGTAATAATAAAACAAAAATATTATCTCTAAAAATAAACTGTTTTTACATTGTCAGTCTTATGATCAGAAGTCAAGATTTTTAAGGTGAAGGAATGAACCCCCAACTGAGAAACTAACAGGAAAACCAGTCTCACTGTCAACACTGAGGGTTCCCAGCAGCAGCAAACAGTAAAACTGTTCTGTGGGAAGCCAGGACACCCATGGCATGTGGTCCTTAATGGAAAACAGCCTCTGATGAAGATGAGCTAATGAAAACATTTCAAACCACGTGAAAAACTAACCATCCCAAGGAATTTCAGCAAACCTCATACACAAGGAGCGTTGATTCACAGCAAAAACAAAATGCTCTGAAATTATCCAAGATGAAGATGTTTGAAAAGTTCAAAAAGAGGAAGGAATAACATCAAAAAGCCAGAAAGGGTATTATTAAAAATATTTAAAACAAACAACAAAAACTAAAAAGCTCTAAAAATAGTATCAAAAACACAAGGGTCTGATAAAAGAAAAGAGCCAAATAAAAGTTATAGAAATAAGAAATACAGGCACTGATATCCAAAACTGAGATTTCAGTGTGTAAATTAAACCAAAGACAAAAGAAGTGCTAACAGGAAGAGATTTTCTATTATGTAGTTGAAAGGCAGAGACAGAGAGAGACAGATGGGAGTCGGGGTGGGGGGTATATGAGGAGCCAGGCATAGTAGAACAAGCCTTTAGCCCCAGCACTTGGGAGACAGAGGCAGGAAGATCTCTTTGAGTCTGAGTCCAACCTGCACTGCATAATGATACTCTGTCTCAAAAAGAACAAAAAAGTTATTTGAGGAAAAATAAACATGAAACTTAGAATAAGAAGCTCCAATTGATACCCGCTAATGTCCAAATGAAAATAGAGACAGCAGGAAAGGACCCCAGAGAAGGTCAGAACTTTCCAGACAAGAGACATACTTTCAGATGATAAATGACATGGCAGACCAAGTTCTGACCAATGGATGAAACAGTAACTCTAACCTGGCCACAGTCAAGGGCATATTACAGAACACATGGTCAGGGCAGGAAGTAGACAAATGGAGCACTTCATGTCGGTCACAAAGATGCCAGAAGGCAGTACAGTAACACCTTCAGGGTGGCAAAAGAATATTGTGGCTTCCTGGGAAGAATACTCAAAGGGTAAAAATACATAAAGAGTGAAGGATGGGGGCTGGAGAGTTGGCTCAGTGGTTAAGAGCACTGGCTACTCCTGCAGAGGACCCGGGTTCAGTTTCCAGCACCCACATGGCAGCTAACAATCATCTGTAATTCCAGTTCCAGAGGAGTCCAACCCCTTCTTCTGGCCTCTGTGGGCATTACATGACAGAGGTTCACTGACATATATGCAGGTAATACACTCACACACATAAAATACAAATAATATTTTATTTAATTTTATGTTTGTGAGTATATTGCCTGTATGTATGTGAGTGCACCCATGTCATGCAATGCCATGGAGGTCAGAAGAGGGCTTTGGATTCCCCTAGAACTGGAGTTAAGGACAGTTTGTAGCCACCATGTGGGTGCTGGGAATCGAACCTGGATCCTCTACAAGAGCAGTCAATGCTCTTAACCACTGAGCCATCTCTCCAGCCCTAAATAAAATATTTTTGAAAAGAATGATGACCATCATGTGCTCCTCACAAATGTTTTTACATGAATATATCTCAAAGGCAGCTCAACACCTCTATCAAAGAACAAGTATCGGGAACTGGAATGACACACCTGATGTCAGTGAGCAGTGTGACTCTTCCCAGTGAAACTATGCCTTTTATTCAAAACAGCAATCAAACATCTCTTTAACTCTTTGACTTCACTTGTTTCTTCCCATAGCAGCTCTGGCACATCTTCAAATTTGGCATTTCTGGTACATTCTATATTAAGGCTAGGAAACCTAAAAATTCTGGTTATTTATGGCAAATTCCTAGTTTTTAGATGTTAGTAACTAATACACAGGCGGGGGTAGGGGGGACACATTAAAACAGAAAAGCAAACAATATGCACATTGTCCAAGATCTGGCATGGGACATCTAGATTACACACCCTGGCTTGTGCTGTTCTCCCTAAGCTGCAGGGGGGCTCTCCATGGAGACACAGGATGCCCCATCGCCTGAACGTCAGACTGGAAAGCTCAGATTGCTCTCAGAGCTGCAGTATCTCTCTTTGTATTGCCCAACTTACAGAAGAGAGATTTACATGACTTAGATCTGATGTTTCTTTCAAAACACCCTTTCTTCACTGGGCTTCCTGTCTTCCAATAGAAGCTTTTCAGAGTGCCTTATACTCACTGTCAAGAATTGTACTGTCTGAAACTGGTTCTGCCCCAGAGGGCTTCGAATAGAAACTCTGAATAGCAATGTGCAGTAGCCTTGACTATTCAGATGCTGAGCACCCAAGCTGGTCCTTGATCCTCCGCCAGCTTCCAGTCCAGCATCACTGGTGCAGACATACCCTGTCTGACTGGAGTCAGAGCCCAGTCCAATCAGGGCAAGGGCAGAAAGAGACAGATGGAATCACTGATGACTCTAAAGTTTTGGTTAAGTTGTCATTGCTGTGGGGCATGGTGAGACATGCCTACAGCCCCAGCACTCAGGAGGCGGAGCCAGGAGGATCTCTGTGAGATCCAGGCCAGCCTGGTCTACACAGTGAGTTCTAGGCCAACTGGAGCTACTAGAGAAACCCTATTTCAAAACAAACAAACAAACAAAAAAGATGTCTTTGTTCCTATTAAGTAGCAAAATTCCAACAACAGAACACATGGCCTGAAGTGTTAAAATGGGCCATGGAGACAAAATCAACTAATTTTAACTTAGCCAGTGACCAAGTGGCCAAGAGGAAGCTACACCCAGAAAATGCTATCTAGCACCTCTTCCATGCATCAGGAAAGTAGAGTTCATCTGTATTTAAAACTGTTTCTTAGTCAGGTAAGTGGTACACACCTTTAATCCCTGTACTCGGGAAGCAGAGGCAGGAGGGTCTGTGACATGGAGGCCAGCCTGGTCTACACAGTGAGTTCCAGGCCAGCTGGGGCTGCAAGGAGACTCTGTCTCAAACAAACAAACAAACAAACAAACAAAAGTAAATAAAGCGGCTATGAACCATCATTAACTCTAGTTCCAGGGGAATCCGAAGCCCTCTTCTGACCTCCACAGCATTGCATGACATGGGTGCAGTCACATACATGCAGGCAATACACTCATATACATAAAATAAAAATAATAAATTTTTAAAAAGTTTTCTAAAATATATTTTTTGAAAAGAAGAATACAGGGGGCTAGAAGGAAGACTCAGCAGTTAAAAACACTGGCTGCTTTTGCAGAGGACCCGGGTTTGAATCCCAGCGCCCACATGGCAGCCAGTAACTGTCAAAACTCCAGTTCCAGGGGATCCCACACTCTCTTCTACCCTCTGAGGGCACTGCACGACACAGGTGCATTTATATACATGCAGGCAATATACTCATATACATATTTTTTTAATTAATAAAGAACAGAATATAGAAATAAGTGACAAAAGGCAGTTCGGACAGGCCTGTTTAATGTATAATTCTCTAGGCAGGGTGACCTCGAAGCCATGTATGGAAGATGGTGAAGTTCACAAGATGTAAGGGTCCTGGATCCCTAAGCTGCTGCCTAGAAAGCACATGTTCACGGATCAGATGACCCCACTAGGTTTACATAAGTAGAAAATAAACTTGTATCAAGTTTGGATCACTACACACTTTTAAATTTGTTTTGATACAGCAGTTAGAAACTCCTCTAATAATTTGCAAAATACTAATTCAGGTATTATATTGAAATTATATTGAAAAAAAACTCCATTCATTTAAAACGAAGAACGAGGCAAGGTGGTACACACCTGTAATCAACACTTGGGAGACAGAGACAGAAGGATCACTGCAAGTTCAAGGCCAGCCTAGGCTACATACTAAGCTCCAGAACAGTCATGGTTACATAGTAAGAGCGAGATCTTATTTAAAACAAAACAAAACAAAGGCTGGGGAGATGGCCCAGTAGGCAAAGTGCTTGCCAGGTAAGCATGAGGACCCAAGTTCACATCCCCAGAAATCATGTAAGGTCAAGCATGGTAGTGCACAGCTGTAATCCCAGGGCTTCTATGAGATGGGAGGTGGAGATGGAGAATCTCACAAGCCAGCTGGCCTGGCATATGCAGAGCAGAAGCATGACAGCAAAGACATCCTGCCTCAAACAAGCTGGAAGCCCAGGATGGATACCTGAGGGTGTTGTTGACCTCCATAAGCGTGGTATGGCATGCACATGCCTGCATACACCACACATAAATGCACGTACAGGTTATACACATGAAATTTTTAAATTAAAAAATGAAAAAACAAAGTTTTCATTTAGTTGTATCAAAGAAATTATAGTTTATATAAACAGCAGGGAAATCTTTAAATCCATTTATCTATACGTACTTGTGTGTATGTGTGTGTAGGTGGGTGCCAGAGATCAAAGTCTCCCTTAATTGCTCTCACTGAACCTGCTCTCACTGATCCAGCTAGACTGGCTGGCCAGTAAGCTCCAAGTGTCAGTGTCCTCTGGTCTCTGCCTCCCCAGTGCTGGGATTACAGGAATATACAGCAGCACCTCGCTTTTATGTGGATGCTAGGGATTGAACTCAGGTCCTCATGCTTGCAGAGCAAGCTCTTTACTGAGCCATTTCCTTAGCCCCAATTTCATTCATCTCTAAGTATGCCAGTTATTATAGGCAAAGGGAAATTACCAGCTGCCCTTTCCCTGATCACCTGGACCTATGACTCTCTGAAGACCTTCTCTATATTATATTGATGTGAGAAAACAGTGCCATGTGAGGTAGGCAAGAAAGTAAGTGTCTTATGGCCATTACATCTAAGCCTGGTCATTCCCCCAGTTATCTTTTCTGTGGGCTCAATTTTTCCATTATTTCTTCACCCCTGCCCCCAAGTACCTGACAGAAGGACAGCTGGCCACTTACCCAATGCATGGATTGGTCTGATACCTCGGCGCTGTATAGGAGAAAGGAGAGATGTCCTTGTCAACAAAAGACCCAAAACCCAACCGGAAGTTGCTAGTGAGCTTCCTCATCTCCTCAGCGAGTTTGGTGCCCAGGCTCCGGATGTTGTCCAAATCATCCTTCATGGAGAGGGAGAGGTCCATCAGGTAGTACAAATCTACGGGATAGTCCTCCACCTGGCGCACCTGAAGCTGGAAGGTGGTCTGGTCACCTGTGTCAACAGAGAGGTCACATTCATTAGAGGCCATGGAACTTGCTAGGATAAAAGAATGGGTTTTCCTTTTTATTGCTTTCTTCCCACAGGGGGCATGGCTAAGTGGTGGATTACTTGCCTAGCCCAAATCCCTGGGCTTCCCCTCAGTCCCTACCCCCCACAAAATCAAAGCTCTTTCTTTTCTGTATTGATGATATACCTCCAAAAAGAAAGATTTCCTTGGAAGTACAACGCTTGAAGTGAATATGGTGCTGAGGGTGAAACCTTGGGTGCTTTTCCCCACATGTCTGTGTCATTGCGTCTGAGAAAGCTCTTCAACACCACGCTTCTTAGTGGTGTTCTGTCTCTTGGCCAAAAAGACTCTTGGGTAATTGTGAACAGAAAGCAACACAATCCCAAGGATGCAAACTGGGTGGAGAGAAACCCACCAACACTCCAGAAAAAGATCCAGTCCAGCTAGGGGGTGGGTGTGTGGAACAGAAACTAGGAAAGGAATTAACAAGAGGGGATGGACATGAGTGAGAACCACGTGGAGAAAAGGGTGACATACAGGTCAAGAGAGGGCAAGTAACAAGGCCAGTGACTTGGAGCTGGGGAGATGGCTCAGTGGGTAAGAGCACTTACCTTGCAAGCGTTAGGACCTGAGTTCAGACCCCCAGCACCTACATAAAAAGCTGTACATGGCCCAGCATATCTATAACCTCAGAGCAAGCAACTTCACACACACATGCATATAACCGCACCCACACACACACAAAAGCAAGAGGGGGACTCAGAAGGGGTTCAGTGGGAGAGGAGGGAGATTAGAAAAAGGAGTGGGGTAAAATGGACAAAGTTCACTATATACATTTGTGAAATTATCAAAGAATATATACATACTATGTATGGAATGTCATGTTAGCTGAGAGCAATAACCAATTACTGTATTCACCCTTAACAAAAATGAACAAAGAGAGAAAAAAAAAAAAAAAAAGACATCACCAGATTGTGGATTGTACACAAGCAGAGAAAAAGATTTGGTTTTTAAAGTAATGTAGTCAGCAAGTGAGGAAAGGGGAAGTAACGCAGAGGGACGGAACAAGGAGACCTGCGGCCTCTAAGAGGCGACCTTTGCTAGCTCACCCTTCAGGGTTTGGAGTCTGATACCTAAATTTTCTCATCATTTCTAAAAGTCTCTTAGGACTGACTTCAAGGTTCAACTCACACCAGAGAATTTAGGCTGCCTAGGCTCACTGGCCCGCCATGAGTATCTGATGTCTATTTGTCCCACAGAAGAACTGCACATGGGCCTTTGAAATGTGGATATTTGTGTGTGTGTGTGTGTGTGTGTGTGTGTGTGTGTGTGTATATATTTAGAAGTGTAGGGGTTAAGGCCATGGTGGTACACGCCTTTAATCTCAACACAAGGGAGGCTGAGGCAGGTGGGTCTCTGTGAGTTCAAGGCCAGCCTGGTCTACATAGTGAGTTCCAGGGAGACAGGGAGACTCTGTCTCAAAAAAAAAAGAGTACAGGGTTGGAGAGATGGCTCAGAAGTTAAGAGCACTGGCTGTTCTTGCAAAAGACCCAGGTTTAATTCCCAGCACCCACATGGTAGCTAACAAGCTAACAACTGCCCATAACTCCAGTTCCAGGGGATCCAATGCCCTCTTCTGTCCTCTGTGGGTACTGTATAACACAGGTGTACTTACACACATGCAGACAGTACACTCATATACATAAAATAAAAATAATTTTTAAAAAAAGAAGTGCACTTCAAGATGGCCTCACCGTCATCCAAGGGGTCCACACTTGGTTGGCCACTGCCACAGCTCAAAGAAACCTCTTGCAATCTTGTATGGGGTCCCCATAAGTTAAAGCTCTGGCCCCTGCAGAACACAGACCTCAATCCTCCATGCTTCCTCTTCCCCCAACTGCAAACAAGGCATATTTTGAAAGCTAGATCAGGAAGAATCCAGTGGCCAAAAAACTTTAGTTCAGGCTTCAACTACGTCCTTTAACTAGGGGTGCAACTTGGGCCTCAGTCTCCTTAAATATGAAATGGAAATAATGTTCAGAGCATTGATTGGGGCAGGGATGCATTCCCATGGGAGAGCAGGGTTCTGGAATGATAAAAGCTTGCACAAATGAAGTATGATTATTACAATTACTATTTGTAGTTAGAGTGGCAAGCCTGCTTCTCCTGACTTGTTTTTGCATGCATTGTTCTGGCTGCCTAAAGATTGATGTAGAGCCTATTTTTAAAAACCATCAGAGCCTGACTCAAACAGAGTGTTTGATATCTCTTCCAGAAGGAATTCCAAACTGCTACAGTGTGTCTCTGGCTCCAATCAGGCAGACAGAGCAGGTCCTCCCAGAAGCCTCCTTGGATGCCTGGCACAGTGGGGGAAGGGGACAGGGAGAGAGGAGGAAGGACCTGGAGGAAGATCACCTCCTTCTTTGGTCTTTGCATAGGCAGATAAATATCACATGGATAGAGCGTACCATTATGTCTTCTGACCAAGCCCATAACCTCTTCATAGGGCCTCCTGTGCCCACACCTGCTCACCTGCCCCCCAAGTTTCAACCAATAATCAACAGGTGGGGAAGTGGCTTGGTTGCAGGAAGCAGAAAGGCACCCCCGGGACAGTAGCACCAGACTTGGAACTGGGAGAGCCAAGTTTGAATCCAGGCCTGGTCATTAAGGATGCCGGAGAGAGCTCATGCTCTTTTCAACTTGTGGCTGTTTCAGTGAAGCAAGAGGACATTAATCATCATGGGGATTGAAATCAATAATGTACATAAATGCCATACCCATGCTCTCACAAGGAAGTCTTTGACTTCAATTCTCAGAAAAGTTAAAAATTAAAACTGTACTGCAGGGTGGTGCATGCCTTTAATACCAGCACTCAGGAAGCAGAGACAGGCAGATCTTTGATCAGTCTGGTCTACATAGTGAGTTCTAGGCCAGCTAGGGGTTACACAGTGAGACCTTGTATCAAATAATTAAATAAATAAACAAACATTTAAAAATGTTAAAATTAAAAGCAATTTTAAATTAAAGTAATTTCTTCTGGGGATAAAAAGATAAAAAGAGGAAATTCTTCCAGGAACTTGAGTTTAACTGGCTATAGCCTCAGCCATATTAAATTTAATTCCAAACTTTCCAGATATGAAGGCAGAGAAAGAAGGTATGAAATGTAGATGCCTCTGCTAAGAGGGCTTTCTACATAAAAGTGAAAGAAATCTCTTGGCCTTCAATTCTAAGAGAAACATTTCACTTAAGAAAGCAATGCACATACACACATGCACTTCTGCCCACAGCAAAGCTGCAAATATTAAAAAGGAATATTGTCCCAGTGTGCCAGAAAGGGAAGGTGTGAGGAAGGTAGGCTCAATCATGCTGATCACCACCCATAACACACCTGATTTTCAAGTCACTCCCCCTTGCAAGGGGGCTGGTGATCATGAAATGTACTGCCAGCAATTCTTGCCTAATGGGCTGTCCTAGAAAGGGTGGCCTCCCTCCTTAGCAGCCTGGTATGGCTGGTGGCACCGCAGCAATGTGTGGAAAGAGTTTTGCCAGGAGGAGATCTGGGCATATTGATCACTTTTAGGTGTGCTTTGCTTAGACTCTTCCCTTCCGCTCTTTCCCAGCCAGCTGCTGTCTCGCACCACCTGAGACTTTAACCTAGTGGCCTCAGCAGGGTGCAGAGACCTTCCCACCTTCACTATCAGGGCTGGTCTGTGCTGGCCTTTGGTGACAACATCCCAGGCCACATGCTGAGATTTGTTATTCCAGCAGTCTTCCTCTCCACAGAGAAGTCCTACAAGCTATTGCACTTAATCCCCACCTCAGAGTCAGCAGTGGGATCAGAGAAAGGAAGCAAACTGAACTCCAAAGAGAAGCTGATCATCTGCACCTGGGAGAAAGCCCCACCCCCACCCCCGCAGCTCCACCCATCCTGGTTTTCCCAATTTCAAAGCATCTACTGCTGCCTGTGTTTTGCACAGAATTCCTGCCAATGCTGTACTGCAAGAACAGGTTCCCCTACTATAATTAAGTACTAACTAGTAATTCACTCAAAAGGTATTTTAACACTTTCTTCTCTCTGACCTCTCTTTAATAAGAGTGCAAAGTTCGCTTTTTTCCTTGGGGACACGTATCAGATGACAAACATTGCTAGAGTAAGTACAGAACTCCAGTGAAGATTTCTAAGATGGACTTTTGTTCACATGTTAAGACAAGACAGAGGGCTGGAGAGATGGCTCGTGCTTAAGAGCGCGTGCTGCACTTGCAGAGGACCCAGGTTCAATTCCTAGCACCCACATCAGGTGGGTCACAACTGAAATTACAGTTCCAGGGGATCCTATGCCCTCCTCTGGTATTCTTGGGCATCAGACACACACACACACACACACACACACACACACACACACACACAATACATATACATGTAGGCAAACCACTCATTCACATAAAATAAAAAACAAATTTAAAAAAAAGGTAAGGCTGGATGTTAACAAATAAGTATGAGTGTGTGTGTGTGTGTGTCTGTGTGCTAATGTGTGCATGCCACAGCCCACGCTGGAGGTCAGAGGACAACTTTTGGAAGTTGGTTTTCCACCTTGTCTAGAGGTAGGGTCTCCCTTGCTTCTGTAGCTTCACCACACACCTGGGCCTGGTCTGTAAGCCTCTAGGTAATTTTCTTGTCCCCACCACCCATCTCACCAGAGTAATGCTGAGATGTGTACCACGCATCCAACTTTTTATGTGATTTTCGGGGAACTGAACTCAGGTCATTAAGCTTACGCAAAGTTGCAGAGGACCCAGGTTCAGTTCCCAAAGGCTGAGTGTGGTAGCACATGCCTTTAATGCCAGCACTCAGGAGGCAGAGGCAGGTGGATCTCTGTGAGATCAAGGCCAGCCTGGTCTATATAGCAAGTTCCAGCTGTGGCCACATGGAGTGTCTGTCTCAAAAAAAAAAAAAAAATTAAGAAACTAAAGAACTAAGGTGAATAACTTAAAATAACCCTTTCCCCAGTGTTTCAAAATTATCACTAGTTTTTTACTATCTCAATTAAGTTTTACTTTAAAATTTATGTCCTTTCTTAAGGATTTTTTTTTTTTTAGTTCTTATCCTCACATACAGTTTCCAGTGTTGAAATAAAATGGAAAACATGATCCTGTGTTTATACAAAACCCTGCTTAAAGTTTGGCAGTTCTTCAAAAAATTAAACACAGAATTACCATATGATCCAGCAATTCCACTCCTAGCCATAGACCCAAAATTATTGAAAACATATGTCACCAGACAAACTTGTACATGAATGTGCAAAACTGCTGCAAAGTGAAAACGGCCTATCATCTAAAGTGTGGCCTAACTACATGTACACAACAGAGTATTATTCGACCATAAAGAATGAAGTAACAGGACATGGTTACTACACACCTACACCTACACCTACACACACACACACACCTCCTACACCTGGGAGGTTAAGGCAGGAGAGTCACAACTTCCAGGCTAGCTTGAGCTACATAGTGAGACCCATGCTCAAAAACAAACAAGAACTACATTTTATAATATGGATGAATTAGTGGTGACATGTTATATAACTGACAGGAAATGTTAAGCACAGGCAAAAATCATAGAAACAGAAACTGGTTTAGAAGGGTAGCATGATAGAGCAGACTGCAGGGTAGTGAAAATGTTCCAGAATTATATAATGGTTATCGCTACCCAGCCTCAAAAATGTACTTAGAAGCATTAACCTGAACATCTTAAAATTGTAAGTTTCATGATGTGTGAATTGTAGCTCAATTTGAAAAAAAGCTTTTAAAATTCAACTTAAAGAATAAAGAAGGAGGGTCCTCAAGGTGGCTCAGTGGGTGAAGGCACCTGACTCCAAGCCTGATGACCTGAGTTTGATCCTCAGGACCCACATGCCAGAAGGAGAGAAGTGACTTCCACAAGTTGTCCTCCGACCTACACACCTACTACACACACACACACACACACACACACACACACACATATACACAAAATGTACTAAAAAAACTTAAAAATAATAAAGGAGGGGCCATTAAGGTACCTCAGGGGAGCCAGGCATGGTGGTACGTGCCTTTAATCCCAGGGCTCCAAAGGCTGGTATATCTCTATGAGATCCAGGCTAGCCTGGTCTACATGGTAGCTTCCAGGCCAGCTGGGGCTATAAGGAGACCCTGTCTCAAAAAACACAGATAGACTATAGATGATGACAGATAGATAGATAGATAGATAGATAGATAGATAGATAGGTAGATGATAGATGGACAGATAGATGATACATACGCACAGATGATAGATTAGATACCAGATAGATGATATATAACATAATAGCATGATAATATATAAATAGACATGTGGAAGGGTTCTTGGCTGAATTGATGGATGGAGGTGTGCGATAGATAGATAGATAGATAGATAGATAGATAGATAGATAGATAGACAGACAGATAGATAGATAACCTTAGGGGCACTTGCTACCAAGTCTGATAACCTGAGTTCCATCCCTGGACCCACATGGTAAAAGAACCAGCTTCCACAAATTGTTATCTGACCTCCACACATGCATTCATGCATATGTAAATAAATAAATAAATAAATAATATACTTTTAAAATTAAGGGGGAAAAAAAGAGTAAAGAAGGAAATCCATCACCACCCAGCCCTCTTTCTTCTTCTTCAGACCTATCTGTGATGATAACTTGGCCTTCATGAAGTGTCTTTCATGTTATGCTGAGGCTTGTCCTTGACTAATCTTGTAGAAGTGTTATATTTCACTCAATAAATACCTATTATGAGGTGTAGGGGAGGGCAGGGAGAAAACATAAAAGCATTTCTAAAAGTATATCATGGAGAAGCTAATCCCCACACACCTGACAGGCCTCTCAGAATAGGGGGAATTTCCTGGAGGCAAGTATGCTCTTAGTAAACTGAGGTTTTTACAAGCTACAACATACCAGCCCCCCTCTCCCCAAATAAGAAGGTTTTGCCTGTTTCTCTTTATAAATATTAAAATTGCATTTTCAATTTTTTTTTTGTCTTTTTGAGACAGGGTTGCCCTGAACTCACTATGTAGATCAGGCTGGCCACGAACTCACAAAGATCTGCCTACCTCTGCCTCCCAAATGCTGGGATTAAAGGCATGTGCCACCACACCTGGCACTTTTTCAAATTTTTAGGAGGCATTATTGGTTTCAAGTATTTCTAAATCCAGAAAATACATAATACATAGCTGCCTTCCAGAAAATTCTTAATGGTTCTAGAACTTTAGGAATCCTGATATTCCTCATCTCTTCCCTTGGTCTTCATCTCTACTGAAATATCTTTGTGTCTTGGTTGTGTCTTCATGGACAGCTGGCTCCTTGTCACCTGCACCTCCCAGCACTGGGCCCTCCCTCAGACAGGCCTGCACACAGCACTCACCTGTAGCAAGAAACCCAGGATCCCATTTTCATTTTCTTTCTAACACTAGAAACTGCATAATGGTTACTGGGATTCAGTACTGGGCTTCTCTCTCCAGCAGGGTCACTTACGTCTTTCGTTTAAGCTTCACAGTAATTGAAACAGACCATTTCTCCAGTACTTGCTGACTCGAAAAGCTCATTCTGAAATAATGAGTGTTCACAGAACCATGCAATACAACAGCTTCAATAATCTCCAGTGAAGTTTTATCACATATACCCCATTGGGCCAAATTCAATTCTGGGAACTAAGTACCCCCTAGTCACACCTATATCAGGCACCTTTGGCTTGTATTCTTTGAAAATGATTAGCTTTTTAAAGTTCTTTTATACAAAAGTTTCCTGTAAGCCTCTGAGCATATCCACAAAGAATGGAGGTAACAAGGAGCCTGCCATGCTGAGGAGTTAAATAACCTACCAGGGCCTCCAAGCTAGGGATGGAGCCAGAGCTACAACTCAGGACAGCCAACCAAATTCATAATTGACCCATTGCTTCAAGTTACCCTGAACACTGAATAACCAACTGGAAATAGCTATTTCCAAGTGTTCTAGACAATGGCACAGGTGAAGGGGGGGGAAACCAATGGAATTGGAAAAAAACTGATTTACCCAACAATGTGAGACTTTCCAGTTTAGCCACATCCACATCCATATCCACTTCCACAGTGCAAAGATTCTAACACAGAGAATGTTCAATGATAGATGCAAACTAGAAACAGCTTGGGTTCACATGCATAAAGTCTTGGGTTAGGTCTCTAGCACTACATAAATGGGGTGTGGTGGTACACTCCTGTAATTCCAGCACTCAGATCAGGAGTTCAAGGTTATTCTCGGCTACATAGCTGAGTTTGAGGTAAACCCCTAGGTTTACGCTACATGAGACCATCTAAAAATAATGAAAAGCACAACAAATAATAATAATGATAATAGTAATAATAATAATAATAAAAACAGAAAGTCAATTTGCTGACAGGAAAAAAAGACTTTTTCCTAGAAGCAGTAATTGTACTGAACAGGGAGTAAGTCTAACAACATCCTCCCAGCGGGAAAAATCCAGCATTGTTCACAATAGCCTATACGGAGAGACAGCCCAATGTCTACTTACAAATGAGTATAAACAAAATGTGATATATACACCAAATGGAATATCATTTAGCCTTAAAAAGGAAGGAAATTCTGTCACGTTATAATACGGTGAGCCTTAAAAATGTTATCCTAACACCAAAGCAAACACTGAATGCTTCCACATATCAGAGGTAGCTAGAATAGTTGAATTCACAGAGACAGGAAGAACACATCACCAAGGACTGGGGCAATGGGGGTGAAGAAGCATCATTTGTTAATGGGTGGAGTTTCTGTTAGAGATGATGAAGTTATTGTGGAGATCATGATGGAACACAACATAGCGAACTGCTCTGTATGCTTAAAAATGACTAAACTGGGAAATTTTATGTCATACATAGGTCTACCACGATGGTGGGTTTTTTACTATTGTTTTGGTTGGGGGAGTTGTTTTGATTTATTTTGTTTGTTGCAGAACTGAGAATGGAACCCAGGGCATCCCTCAGGTGTGCAGGCAAGGGCTCTACCATGATCTTTAAAAAACAGCAGACACTGCACCCATCCTCACTGTGGGGGACCTTGTACTCTGCTTCCTGCTCTGAGCCTTACATCCCCAGTACCAATTCATGGCTCAGTCTAGCCTGGCCCATTTTCTGTGTTAGCACATCCCACAAATTGGGCTTTCCTGAGCCCATAGCACCCAGCCCATCCTGAGGGATACTCACCGGGCCGGAGGTTCACAGCAATCTTCTGTGGTGCCATCTGAATGACGTCTGAGCCTATGGCACTGGAGCCCTTGCTGCTGAGGGGCAGGCTCCGCAGGACATGGGTGCTGCTGGCCGGGCTTTCAATCTCCCCTCCACAGCCATTCCGGATGAGGTTTTCTCTCAAGTCACATCGAGAGGTAATGGACCTCGGGCTGCCAAAGTACTGGTGGGAGAAACAGAGGCAAGCCCAGGAGATAGTCAGGATGGAGCCTGAGACTCTGAAAATGGAGATGGTGATAATCCCCATCCAAATGCCTCTTGAAGATGAAGAGGACTGACTGAGGTACTGGTCATCAAAGCATGTGGTAAACTGCTAGGGTCTAATAAAAATGTTAGCTTTCATTGTTATTTTTTCAGTCAAAATATTCCTGTCTATATATTTAGCAAGAGAAAGAAACTGGCTGGGGTTGCAGTTCAGTGTTAACAGAGCTTGTCTAGTATATACAAGGCCTGGGTTAGATGCCCCCCCCCACTAAGAAAAAGACTTAAAAGTGCTGGAGTATATAAAGCCAGTGATAGAGCTCTTGCCTAGCATGTAAAGTCCCTCTGTGTGTCGGGGTTGGGGGTGGTGGTGGTGGAAAGGATTGGAAGAAAAGAAAACACATATCTGCATTAGGACAAACTGAGCTTTTACAACAAAAGAGCCAAAATATTTTCACTTTTATCTTTATTGCTGTTTATGTAATAAAGATACATTGGTAAGAAAGTCTTAGCTAGCTAGCCCTGGTGGCATTCCCAGCAGTCTGGCTATAGGAGGCAGAAGCAGAGGCAGGAGGTTCAGGAGTTCAAGGCCAGTCTCAACGTAATTAAATACCAAGTTTGAGGCCAACTTGGGCTACATGACCCTGTCTAAATAAACCAGGAATTTTTCAGGCATGATGGCATATGCCTTGAATCCCAGCACTGGGGAGGCAGAGGCAGGCAGATCTGTTAGATCAAGGCTAGTCTGGTCTACATAGTGAGCTCCAGACCAGCTGTAACTACAGGGAGACCCTGTGTCAAAAAACAAAAAAACTGAACAAAACAAATAAAACTCCCAGAAGTTTGAGATATTAATTTTAAATGAAATAACAGGGGCTGAAGAGATACCTCAGTGGTTAAGAGCACTGGCTGCTCTTGCAGAGTTCATTTCCCAACACCCACATGGTGGCTAACTACCATCCTTACATAATTGGAAACCATACCCTCTTCTGACTTCCGTGGGCATTGTATGACACAGTTGCACTTACATACATGCAGGCAATATACTCATACACATAAAATAAAACTAATAAATAACAATCTTTTAAATGAACTAACATATTTTGCTGCAAACTAGATACCTGTTTGGATGATTTTCAGGAAATGTTTTTTATCTGTTTTTTATTTTTATTTGTTTGAGGTATAGTCTCCAGTAGCCCAAGTTGGCCTCAAATTCTCTATAAAGCCTAGGATGGCCTTGAATTTCTGATTCTCCCATCTCTACCTCCCAAGGCCTAGGATTATTTTACAGGGTACTATGGCAAGCATGCTATCCATCCACTGAGCTACACTCCCAGCAAGGGCTCTTGCAAAGCAAGCCTGAGCTATGCTACTCTCCCTTCTGCAGCTAGTTAGATATCATCACCAGGCCATTTAATGCCTGTATGCTGAGCAGTCAGGACACAAAGCGTCAGTATGCCTAGCCTGCTGAGTTAGAAGCCAGACTGCTGGCCGAAGCACAAAATTCCAGCGGGACACGCCCTTCCTTCTCCAAGGGCGTGGCTGTCCCAGAACTAATCAATGACCTTCGGAATCTGCAAAATTCAAGGCTAAAAAGTCAACAAGATTTTGCAAGTTTATTTGTTTTTGTTTTTGTTATAGCCCAAGCTGGCCTCAAACTTGTGGCTATCCTCCTGCCTCAGTGTCCTGGCTGCTGGGATTATAGACATGAGGGACCACAGGGACCATGCAGCATTTTAAATAAGTAAAACTAGATTCACTGATGGGGATTTATGTGATTATTTTTAGTTCTTTTTTTCCTTCTGGGTTTTATAAATAACTGATTTTTTTTTCCTCCTAAACCCTATGAATTGAACCCATGGAGATCTTTCCTGTCTGGACTACACTCTAAGTAGTTCCGTATCTTCTTGTAGAACTGTGGAACAAAGTGAAAAAAAGGATTATGGGCCTAGATTTCAAAACTAAGATTTCCAAACTGGGTTCCAGGTAGTCACACTTGGCTGTAATGAAGGAAAACACAGGACAGGGGAAAGGAAAGTTAATGACCCAAGGGTGCTGTAGACCACAGTACTGCTCTGCTGTGCTGAGTGAGGGTCTGAGGCAGAGGTCTCTAAGCATTTGCCCAGAGCTTAAAGTGTTCAGGGAACACTTGCTCAGCACTTCCTTAACTAAAATTTCAAATACCTTGTTGGAAACTGGGCCTTCTTGTTGCCCAGCTCCTCCAATTCTAAAAAGCTAATTGTGCTGCGCCCAGTTCTGACTGTGCATGCACCGGTCAGCATAAAGACCTACCACCATTGCCCATGAAGCATCTGCCATCTCCACAGATTGATGGGAACCTCCCAACCCCTCCCATGGGTTTGGACCAGCTTACATTCTACCATGGCTCAGTCACAGAGCCAGCCTATCTGCTCTAATGATTCCTCTTCTGCAACCTCAGCAGCTCACTGAGGTTTGCCTTTGAGATCATCCCTGGCTGGCTGAATATGCCAGCCTAACTACCCGGAGAGCCTGCTCAGTGGGAACTTTAACAGACATGTCATCTGTAATGAAAGGCTTGTATTAGGCCTCCTGTTAGCTAGGAAGGATGTGCCTTCTGGGAACACTGGAGACTAAGGTCCAGATCACAGTTCCCAAACTGAGAACTCCGCTAGATCAGCACAGTGAACAGCTTCAGTCATATAGTGGCCCTTTGGCAGCACTGACCTTCAGCAGCTGGGGGCAGCTTTATTCTCTAGGGTTTTGGCAATAACCCTCAGTACCAAAGCCCCTGGGTTCCCAGAAACTGGGTACACCAACAGCGGGGATCATAGCCTCCATCAGTATCCGCTGGTTAGCAAGAGAAGAATCATCACTGATTTTTTTAAAAAAATTTTTCAGCCGGGGGTGGTAACACACGCCTATGATCCCAGCACTCAGGAGGCAGAGGCAGGTGAATTTCTGTGAGTTCGAGACCAGCTTGGTCTACATAGTGAGTTCCAGGCTAGCTGGGGCTACAGGGAGACCCTGTCTCAAAAAATAAATAATAAAAATATATATATATATTTTTTTTTAAACTTATTTTTATTTTATGTGTATGAGCGTATTGCCTGTATATAAGGGCACTCGTGTCATGCAATGCCCACAGAGGTTAGAAGAGGGCATCAAATGCCCTGGAACTGGAGTTACCAATAATTGTTAGCAACAATGTGGATGTTAGAAACTGAACCCAGGTCTTCTGCAAGAGCAGCCAGTGCTCTTAACTGCTGAGCCATCTTTCCAGCTCCTAAAATATATATATATTTAAAAACACGTTCCAAAAATAGCTATAAATAATTTAAAATTTTAAAATTTATTTTATATATATGAATGTTTTCCTTACTTGTATGTGATTGCACCACATGTGTGCAATGCCTGCAGAAGCCAGACGAGGGAATTGAATCCCCTGAAATTGGAGTTAAGGATGGTTGTTAGCTACCATGTAGGCAACCTGGCACTGGGAACTAAACTGAACACAGGTCTTCTGCAAGAGTAGCCAGTACTCTTAACCACTGAGCTATCACTCCAGTCCCACCATAACTAATTTTTTTTTTTGTAATTTAGAATGTTTTAATGAAAATTCAACAGATTTTGATCCATTGAAAAATATGCATACACTTTTTTTTTTGCTATTTTCTTTTTTTTTTATGAAGAAACATTTCATTACAGCTTTAACATACTCAATAACGGTTTCCAGAGCAAAGATACATCTCTTTCAAAAGTGCTATAACTCATTCAACTTTATGTCTTACAGGGCTTATACTGAGTTCAATATTGTATAACTGTATTAATTCAACAGGGAACATAACTAATTTTTTTTTTTTTTTGGTCTTTTTGAGACAGGGTCTCCCTATAACCCCAACTGTCCTGGAACTCACTATGTAGACCAGGCTGGCCTTGAACTCACAGAGATCTGCCTGCCTCTGCCTTCCAAGTGCTGGGATTAAAGGCATGCGCCACCATGCCCAGCGAACATAACTAATTTTTAACCATAGGCTTTTATTGTCTAAGGAAGGGACAGACAGTGCTCAAACTCCAGCAGGGAACTTAACCCCCAAGCTTAGGATCTCTCTCATCCCGGGCTGCTTCCTAGTTATTTTAGCTCAAACAAGGTCAGATGAATATCTAAAGAGAGGAAACTAAAACCACAGAGACCAGAGGTCTCTATGACCTTCCAGGTATATAAACAATATAAATCAAGAAAATGTCTCAATAGTTATAAATCTATGACTGCAGATGCCTCAAATTATAAATTATTTTATTTTTGATTATGTATAAGTGTGTATCTGTATATAGGTATGTGCATATGTGAGTATCACTTTCCATGGAGTCCAGAATGTGCACTGGATCCCCTGGAACTGAAGGTATAGGCAGCTGTCAGCTACTTTACATGGGTGCTAGGAACTGAACTCAGGTATGAGCTCATAACTTTTAAGCTGTCTCTCTGGCCCAAATTATAAATCCTTACAGAAAAGAGACTTGAAGAAAGTACTGTTCACAGGACAGCCTGTTGTATAATGGCCTAAGAACGTCAGATTCCCAAGCCCCAACACCCAGTCCTCTGCCAGGTGTCAGAACACATCTTCTTCCAAAGAGAACACATCACCTGGCCCCAGCCCCTCTTCTATAGGTAAGGAATCAGAGATCAAATGCCTCACTTCACCCAAGAAATCTGAGTTGGTCTGTCCCCAGACTCCTAGGCCCAAGTTCATTCTTCACAACCTCTGCCTTACAGAGGCCAAGGTCACCGCTGAGTTCTGCAGTAGGAAACTGACAGGGCCCACAGATTGCATGCCTCTAAACAGTAATTCTTTGCAGCCCCAAACACAAACATCTTCCCACCTCACTATTAAACTTGAAGGATAAAAAGCTTCTTGAGGGGCTGGAGAGATGGCTCAGCGGTTAAGAACACTGGCTGTTCTTGCAGAAGACCCAGGTTCGAAT